GCTGACGCGCATCGTGTGTGGAGACTCTCGTTTTGCCGTGGAGATCATGGGCTGACTGACGCGTTATCGATCACCGGTGGAGATGCACCTGCGCCTTTGCCGTCTATGCCGCAGGTGCTTGGAAACACCTAAGCACGCGCTCTTCGTATGTCGTGGAGATGGGGACTTGGTGTCGCGTCGCGACTCCTTCTGGCGCTCTATCCTCCCCATCACGGACATATCTCCCCCGCAACCACCGGCAACGACCGGAGTCGATGTCTTCCAAGCCCTTCTTACAGACGTAGTCAGTCTCCTCCTTCGCTGAGTTCACATACGACGTCGTTACCCTCTTCGATGAGACTCATCCTTTTTGGCCTAGTTAGACGTGTCTATCATATCATGTGTTTGTTTATTGCAGCAGCTGTGCGCTCAAGCATCGACCACTTTAAATGCAGTGTAATCTTTGCTTGCGGTGTAAGTAGCGAGGCCGCGCCTAGCGCAACCTGACTCGTTCTTATTGGGGACCCCGTTCAGGAAATTTAAAAACCTAAAAAACCTGGAGTGGATTCGGATGTCTGAGACCAAACATCTCAGTTTCGGGGAGCTCGTCGACCGCCCCGTTCTTCGACTCCCTCGGCTGAAGGGCCTACGTCTCGACCTCGATATGCATGGCTGGGACATTAACATATTCATCAAGTCATTGTCTATACCGTCATCCGCGCAACTTCTAGTCTACAAAGCAAAGTTTATCGCCGTTGGCGACTTCGCACTTTTCGAAACGGCCTTCAAAACAGTGACGGCAGCGACCAACGAGGAGATAGCGCTGACGTTGACCGGGAACGACTTCAAGCTTGAAACGGCCCCTCATCCTGGCCATCCACGTCGTCTCAAAGCTGAGATTACCGGCAGCAATTTGGGCGACATCGCGTATGCCTTGCACGGTCCACAACTCGGGCTACAAGACGACTTCAAACGAGTTACACATCTCACAATACGTTTTCCGCCACATTACCCTGTTGAAGCTTGGGAACACATTTTTCATCTGGTTAAATCAGCGGACACGCTGGAGATAGCCGTCAACGGCCCTCCAAACGATGTACGCGGGGTGCCAGCCATTTTCGAGGCGCTTGAGCAATGTTTCGACGAATATAACATACCCTTGCCCTCGTTGCCCCTTCCGAACCTCGCACATATCGTGTTGCGATTGCAGCTCCCGGCTACTTTGGCGCAGACGATCACACGCAAACACATCGTCGAATGTCTGCAGACGCGTGCGTTTGCCGAAGCGCGCCCGATCCAAACCCTCTGCCTGTATGGAGCCTTGAGAGATACTGCCCTCGTCCATCTCTTGCGAGGACTGGTCAGTCACTTGGAGTGGAAGAATGAATAGCGATACCCGTATATGAACTTGTGTGCTCGAAATATTTTTGGCAATTTGTTGTACTTAGCACCTTTTATCCACGCACTCAGAATATAGCATGGCGCGCCAGTATTTGCAGGGGTGCGCCGCTCAAAAGTGAGACTTGGCGATACGAGATAATTACATTGTATAAGCACAACTTCTAGATGAGGTCTAAGAAGTGACAAAGCGAGGGAGTGAGCACAACAACGCGCATCTGTAGTCATCTAAGGAAAGGCAGGCCCAGATCACGCCTTCTTCGGCCCCCCAAGCTTGGTCCCAATACCAGTGCCTGCAGACATACACGAGTCAGTGCACAGCCCACATATATCAGTTAGCCGCCCACATACCGCGGAGCTTCACGCCGAGGACACGCTCGAGCTTGCCGAGGATCTGCGGGTTTGGTGTTGCCCTCCCGGACTCAAAGTCCTGGATAACAGACGGCTTCTCGTTGACCTTCTGAGCAACGTCTTTCTGCGTGAGCTTGAGCTCCATCCGTGCTGCCATCATAGCCTTTATAGGGTTCGAGTCAGGGCTACACGCGGTGATGATGCGGTGCAGCACTCACACGACCAACGTCCGCAGAGACCTTTGGCGGCGGCGCGACCTCGTTCTCGCGATCGAGTTTGGCGATCTTCTGGTGGTCGGTGCCTACGAAACGTCGTTATATGATCAGGACATAATGCTAACAAGATATCTCGCAGAGCTTACCCGCCACCTTGTTTCCGACGGCGATCTTCTTCTCAGTGGCGACGACAGCGCCTGATCGGCGAGCCTACGGGATGAATTGAGCTCGGATATGCTTTCAAATACCGGAAAATACCACATACAGCTAGATATGTGTGTCAGCAAGCCATATATGTACACCCCTTTAAGCTGCACGTACCGTTGATGTCAGAGTTGGTCTTTGTGACCTTCGGCGCGCGCGCCTTGCTGCCGATAACAACCTTGGAGTCCCAATCAGTAGACATTGTGATAGTAGAGGGGTTGAGGTGAATGTGGTAGTGAGGCAGAGGGCAGTGGAAGTGGTAGTTGGAACTTGAGTTGGCCTTGACGCAACTGCGTTTGACGCGGAATGCCCTCACAGCCTGGGCACGTGGAGGCGCCTCACGATGACTTGCCGTTGTCGGCACCGTGTCGGGGATTTCTTTCTTATTCCACGACTTTCTTCGCGGCGCAAAGTAAGCTTTTAACACGAATAAGATATGCAGCAGTATTATTCGAGTACAATTATGCATGAAGCTACCCAAACAACAACACAAGACCGTACAAGTAGGAACAGCAGCTTTACCCCGCACGGCCTGTCATGACCGAATGTGACGTCCACATAGGGCCCCCAGAGCGAAGACGGTAAGCAAGCCTACGCCGGCAGACAACCTGACGGACAGTCAGATAATAGATAGCAAAGACGATTAAGATGAAACATACTGTAGTGAGATCGTACTTGAACCTGATGAGGGCCGCCTGATTCCAAGTTCAGTTGAGCTCGGCACCCGGCCCTTCTCCCAGCCTTCATCGAGTAGCAGGTCCATCTGGCGCTCTTCGAGCAAAGCAAGGTCGTCCATATCCCATTTCGTACACAGATTGATCATCCACCGCATTCTCCGGCGACCAACATCACCACCAACGCCAGGCGCACGCTCTTTCAACCGCTCCCTCAACGCGCCAACCTTCACGATAGCATCCCCGGCGCCATCCGGTATGGCGTCCTCAATCCGTTTGCGGATGATGTTTGCCAGCTTGGGTCCTTTACCATTAGTCGAGACCATGATCTGGAGCGGGCCTCGGCGAATCTGGGACCCAAAGTAGAAGTCACAGTAGGATGGGTCGTCCGCAACGTTGACTGGAATGCGTCGCTCCCTGCATTGTGTCCCGATGTATCGTGAAACATCGACGTCGTCGATAGCCGTCAGTACCATGTCTGCGCCATCCAAGTCCGACAGTTCAAAGTTGCGGTCATGATGCGTTATTTTTGTTGAGCGCGCAAGAAAGTCCTTGGTCAGAGGATGCAAGCCCGCAGCAGGACAAACAAGGGAGATTGAAGCGCCCGCAGCAAGAACGTGTTCTATACGGCCAGAAGCCACCTCTCCGCCGCCAACGATGAGAACAGCCTTCCGGTCAAGCTGCCAGGCGATGAGGAGCGAGCCAGATTCGTCAGTTGTACCCATCGAGATACGCAGCAACTATGGTTTCGGGTCGATACGCGTGTGGCTATATACACGGCTACGCGGCGCTTGTCCCGCGAGTGCAAGAATAGGCAGGTGTGGGTGGTTGTGTCGAACGAGGCAAACGGGGGAACAAAGACGGGCGGCGAGTTTGAGGCCCGGCGATCCGGTCCCACGCTTTGTTCTCCGAGGCTCAAGCGGCGCCGTGTACCTGACCACAAGTGAACTATAAGGATACATTCCATAGAGGATACTTTGTCCACCTTGCCCTCCCACCTTTACCTTCCCGGCGCTGTGCGTCGTAGCCGCTGCTCGCTGCGAGAGCATTCCCAGGGCTCTCTTTTGGTACCGCTCGCTTGGGCCTGAGAAACGGTTTCTATAGCACCTCGAGGCAATCAGATCTCACAACCGCGTTGAGGTGACGATTCGGGCCGTTATATATGCGCAGGCCCTCGCTAACCCGTCTCCCGTTCGACTTTCGCTCGACTGTCTTCTCTTTTCCGTCCTTTTCTTTTCCCTTTTCGCCTTTCCCTCAGCGTGCAAGCCACCCACCGGCGTTGAACGTCGTCCCCTCGTTACACTTCAAGTCGTTTCCCGAATACAGTCCTTTCCACTACAAACCTCACCGGCCTTGGGTACTTGCTCCTGCTTCGCACTCTCGGGAAGAGTCCATTCTTTTTACTGCCCCACACACCGCTATTGCATAGGTGCGTGCGTTGAAGTTTCGAATAGCGAACGGCAAGCTAATCTACATATTTCAGCCCATTCACCCACCCTCGTCAGTCAAGATGCTTAAGAAGGTCTACGGTTTCTACGGCCTCTTCACCCTCTGCATGCTCGCAGGGGCTGCCATCTCCATCGCGTTCTCCCTCGTTTTCGGCAAGAAGGACTTGTTCTTCAACATGATCTTCTCCGCGGAGGACCGTATCAGTGCGTAACCACACGTTTCGGTCTCCCCTACACCCGGCTAACGCACTCCGTAGGCGGTATCATCCTCGGTGTCTTCCTCGCCATTACCTCTGCGATCGCCATCCTTGCCGTTGTGCAGCGCAACCACGTCACCGGTCCTCTCGTCATGCTCAATTGGGTTTTGATCGCCGACGCCGTTGCGGTTATTGTCGTTGGTTCTCGTCTCTGGTTCTTCTCCCTGCGCCAACGCGCCGAGTTCCACACGAAGTGGGTCGAGTTGGCCCCGGCCGACCGCATTACCATCCAGGACATGGTGCGTCGCTTGCACAATTGCCCGAAAGCTCGTTCTAATCCACATGTTTAGTTCTCCTGCTGCGGTTACTTCATGGGCAACGATACCGCCGAGATTGGCGGCAAGTTCTGCACCAGCCAGGACTTCGCCAACTCACTCAACGCAACCAACACGGCTAACTTCTGTGTCACGCCTATCACTGCGAAGACGGACTACACGCTTGAGAACACCTTCACGTGCGCCCCTAATCTGACCCGCTAAGAACTATCCCTGATTGATGTATGCAGGTCCATCTACGCGTTCATGGTCCCCGTCATCGGCCTCTTCCTGGCCTCGCTGTGCGTGATTCAGATGGTATGTGCTGTTCCGTGATATCTCTACGACATTGTACTGATCACTACTCCAGCGCAACGAGATCGAGCGCTTCAAGCGGATCGACTTGAAGCGTGGCGGCCGTGGCTTTGTCTAAACCACGATCCTCGGTTCCCCTACGCTTCTCGTCTCCCTATGTATTTCATCTCAGCGGCTCACTCGTTCTTCCGTGCCTCCCCGTGTCAATACGGGTTCTCCGCGTCCCTGCGCGCAGTTCGCAGCAGAGTGGGAACCCATAGCAACAAAGAAGGCGTTCACGTCGTTGATAATCACCTTGCCGGACGTTTTCTCATCTCTTGTTTGTTGTCCCCGGCCGCCGTGTATAGACCACCCTCCACGTCCGCGGAATGGCTTGTATCTTTAGCAATGGTATCCTAAGATTGTGGAGGACAGGAATCTGAATGGATAATTTGGGATTGCGCAGTTTGAGTCTGAACGTATTCATCGAAGAAAGATACGCTTTAAGCGTTTCGTTTCTGTGACGACCGGCTGCGGAGCGAGCATCGCTCGCGCCTGGACTGCCTGTGGGCGCCTCTGGCCCCGCAGGAATGAAGCGGGCGCCTATTACTGCATATACAATACGGGGTGTATACGCGCCATTTGTGGCGAGCGTAGTCAAGACCAAGATGCATGCATGCATTGATCACACTATTGATTGTAAGAACACGTACAAAGGATCATATTGTAGTATACACGCGTCTACAGACAGCTATACAGTACATCTACCACTGTTCGGTCACGCCGACCCGATAGTCCAGTTACAACTTAGCCTGAGCCTTGGGACCTCCTTGAGCAGCCACAGCAGCCGCATAATCTTCCTGTAGCTTGCGTCTAAGCACCTTGCCAGTGGGTAACTTGGGAATCTACGCTTCGTCAGCATAGCTTCGATGTCACTCGTGTACGGAGACATACCTCATCTATGAAGCCGATGCCCCCACGCAACCACTTCGGTCGACTAAGCCGCTCCTTGATCCACGCCTCCAACTCGTGCGCGACCTGCTTACGGCCTGCCTTCCGCCCGCGCTCAGAGAGCACGATCCATGCGCGAGGTACCTTCTCATCGGACATGCGTGTGCCCGGGACACCGGCAACCGCGACGTCCGTGATGAAGCCACCAGGATGGACGAGGAGTGTGTCTTCGATCTCGAGTGGGGACACCTGGGTACCAGACACTTTGAGCGTGTCCTTCGCGCGATCGACATAGCTAGATGGCCTCAGTACCGCGAACCAGAGCAAAGCAGAGTGAATACCAGACGTACAAGTAGCGCCCGATCTTATCCACCTTGAACCTGTCGCCGGTATGTAACCATCCCTCAGCGTCAAAAGTCTCCGCCGTGGCTTTCGGGTTCTTGTAGTACCCCATCGCCACGTTGCCTCCTTGCAGTAAGAGCTCCCCGGGTTCATCAAACTCGGCGTCTGATCCGTCTTCCCGCACGATACGCGCCCGCATAGATGGAATGAGCACACCGGTAAGACCCGGCGTGGGTTGTATGTGCGCGAACAGCTGCTTGATAGGCTCGACAATCGCCGCCACCGTCTGTATTGATATGAGCGCCTAGTGGTATACAGACATCGGGGCAGATACGTACGCATTCACTCATGCCATAGCCCTCAGTCAGCGAGATAACGTTCTTCGCGCGATGGGCAAGCTTGCTACGAAGCTCGGGCGGGAGGTACGCAGCACCGGTGTTGATGCTCAGAATCCCATCGAGGTTGACTTTGCGAAGCTTGGCATGCGTCGCGAGCTGGTGAGCCATACTGGGCACCATAGACAGTGAAGTGATCTTGTACTTGTGTATCGACTCTGCGACGCGCTCGGGATTCCATTTGGGCAAGTAGACGAAGGTCGAGGGCGCGAACAACATTCGGATGATGAAAGCGTGCAAACCCATGCTGAGACCTGACTTTAGCTTCACCCCTTTGTAGGACACCGTCACTCACGTATGATACATGGGCAGAACGACCAGCGCCACTGGAATGCCTTCCGGTGTATCCAGTTTCGGTGGCTATAAGGCTTTCAATCTCTGTCGACTTTGAATTCCGGAGGATTCCACGTACTGTAAGGACGGTTGCCGACTTCTCAAGCATAATGGCTATTTGCAATGCACCGTAGTATATGTTCTTGTGCGAGAGCAGGACACCTGGAGTTGGTTCAGCATATGCCAAGTCGGACTTCGGGGCCGACGACCCACCTTTCGGCAGACCACTCGTTCCGCTAGAGAAGACCATGTAGGCGATGCTATCCTCCTTTACCAGAGCATAGGGTACACGAGGGATCTTCTTTGACTGTACCCGATGATAAAGGTCGGAAAAGCTCGTTCGTCCGGCAACATGACCGCCGAGGACAAAGATCCTGCTTTCAGGCAAGCCAGTTTCCTTAGCTGCCTCCAGGGCAATAGGCAATAGACGTGGGCTAACGAAGAGCGTCCGCGCATCTGACAGTTTCAGAAGAGTGCGCGACTCCGCCGGTGTGACCAGAGAGGGTATGAGGCTGAACGGAACTCCGATCTTGAAGAGGGCGTAAACGATGACCGGATAGTCCTAGCGCAGGATCAATACAGTGTCATTGAACGGACAAGAGCGCGCATACCATGCAGTTCTCGCTCATGAGACCCACAAAACCCTGTTCAGCCGTGAGGCCGAGTCCCCCGGCGCCGAGCGCTGTCGCAGCGTCGGCGACAAGGTCAAGAAACTCGCGGAATTTGCGTTTCTTTCCCGTAACACCGTCGATTTGCAGGGTGAAGTTGTCCCAAGCTTGGAACTCGGGGCGCTCCAGCGCAAGCTCAGCGTAGTTCTTTGTGGGCCATAGAGGGACCTCCGGCCAGAGATCTGCAGTCAAGATGCCTGGCATGGACAGAAGCGAGTTATGGGCCCGGGAAAAGAGCGCGGCGGGAAGAGAAGCTTGGGGCTGGGGCGCACGACCGTGCTTTTATCGCTATCGGCATGCCGTTCTGAATGCGGGGTAAAGAGCATTTCGCTGAGCAGGGCATCGGCATTTCCGGCTACGCAGTGCCGGGCCAAGTTGGTCTGCTGCTCAACCGCGGGGATCATGCTGGTCTCTGAACAAGGCACGTGTACACGCATACAGCTCGGTTAGTGGCTCCGGGAGCTGTTGTCGCACGCCTGTACCTGGTCGTCGCAGTAGACTCGCCGCCGGTATCAGCTCTGCGCGCTGCCCTAGTCGTTCTAGAATACGTTCTTACAGAAGGACACTGACGCTCATGCCGTTGTCAGCGAGCAGTCTGTCATGTTCCATACGTCATCTTACATGAAGACCACAAGGCCAACGCTGAACGTGAGCGTACGGCTCGACACAGGGAGAGACGAACAGAGGTTGCACCTCTTGGCGTCTATCACGCTGTTGGGAAGGTGTTGTGGATTCCATCGACGTAACAGGATGTGGCAAAGTGAATACACTCGCTGTCATAAAGCTCCCAGTGGCACGCGCGGCGGAAGCAGTTCGAAGACTTCCCTTCTATTCGTCGGTGAACTAATATACCCACCATCGCAAGAGCTCACGCATGCACCGCACTATGCAATCGATGTCTCCCGAGCCCGTTAACATCAACGAAAGGGCGCTTCCCCGGCCCTTTACCACTACAGATCGGGGCCACAAACGGATCCGGAGAACGCCGAGGCGCGTCAACTCACGGCGCGCGCAAGACGCGCCACTTGCATTTACCACTCATCTTGAATGTTCGAACACGACAGATAAACATGACTCTTCTGCGCACAACATTGGATTTCGCTCACCTATTTACCATTGAATGGATCTTTTGGGTTATTCGGGAGGTTCTCGCTGTCGAAGGCGGCAGTGGACGGGCAACCAATGTTAAGACAGGTGTGTGGCATCTTCGCACGACATTCAACACATACTGATTCCCTGCGATCCCCCTACTCAGATATACCCGTAGCTGACTCTGATCAGTTGCATCCAACAGAGACCACGCCCGATGATACACAGACCATCGTCACACCATGGGTCGCCCGAGAGCAACAGGAGGAACATCGTTGGGCTCACCTACGCGCCGACACGTCCTTGCTACTGTTGTCACAAGAGCAGCGCTCAATCAATGCTGCTGAGATATACCAAGAAGCAGATGCCCTCGCTCGCATAGCGAATCTATTGCGCCAGCGCGCTGACTACGTCGCTCAGCCGGCCGTCTTGCGCCTTCCTCCCGAAGTATTCCTCATCATTGCTTCATTCGTCGCGGATGCAGAGCCACCATCAGCGGCCCGCTTCACCCAGCGCCGCCACTCGCTCTTCGCCGTGGATAACGACTACATACACACTGGAGAGACATTCAATGCTCTTGACGACGATGGTTCCCTGCGTCCTGCAACCATCGGCTGGGTGAAACTGGCTCACGTCTGTCGCAACTGGAGATATTTGTGCTCGAATGCCCCCGAACTATGGGCTCGTGGTATCGGCTGTTTACCAAGCATGCTCTTGGAAGCCATGCAACGCGCGGGAGACCACGTCCCCTACGACATCTGTGTGCGGACCACACTCTCAGAGCTCGAAGTGGACACTCTGTCCGCTATGCTCACCAGCCGCGGCCGTTCGCTAGACTGGGTGCTGAAAGACCCCACGCAAAGCGGTGTCGCAAGCGGTCTTCTATCCGGACGCGACCTGCCAGCTTTGACATATCTCAGGGTCAAGACTCCCTATCGAACCTCCTTTGACGTGGTCCCAGTATACGCGCCATTCACGGCGCCACGGCTCGCTGAGATCGACATGGCGTTCATCCTCGTGCCCTTCATTGCTCCCGCCTTAACCTCTCTCCAACTATACTACGTGCAGATGCCCCCCAGTATGCTCCTGGACGTGTTCCGAAGGTCTCCCTTGCTGAGGATCATCGATGTGTCCATGTCGTGGGGTACACATTGGAAAGATGCCGATTTCCCTGACATCAGCGAAAAAAGTTCTCTACCGCACCTCGAAACTCTGCAGTTGTCGGCTAGGAATATACCGGGAACGCTGATTGCTCGTCTCCTGCGCTCGTTGACCACGACGTCGAAAGTCGAAGTCGAACTTGCATGTGCCTGTGAAGACACCGACGACATCTCAGAGCTTTGGGAGACCGTTCGAAAGACCTTCTGGCAAGAGGCGCAACCATGGCACCTCATCATGAACCCAGCGTCCGTGAAACTGCGTATGGCCGAACATATTCAGTGTTCGCGCACCGCAGCCTGCGGCGGGCGCCTGCAGCGCGGACATCTGGACTTCGGCTGGCAACGACGTCTTCCCACCGAAACGCTCCTGCGCCAAGCCTTCACGAAGCCCAGTCTCAGTCCAATGTTCAAAGACCTCCTCTCCGTGGACGTATGGGTGTTATCGCTGCCATCAGAGGAGTGGCGTGCGATTCTGACCCAACTCTCGTCGGTACGCTCAGTAAGCGTGGATGCAGGGCGTGAGGACGACATAGACTGCACCGCCTTCTTTCAAGCTCTCGCACCCGACGCGGCCGGCTCCGAGCCCTTACCGCGGTTAACACGGCTGACCATCTCAACTTGGTGCAAGACCACTCTCGCAGATGTCGTGTCAATCATCAAACGTCGCTCGACATACGCCGAACGCTTCGGGCCTACTTCCGTAATGCAGAAGTTTTTGGAGTTGCGGCTTGGTGTTCTCGACCTCAGGTGGAAGGCGAGCCCCACTCTGACCGCTCAGGAGGTGCAGGACGCGATAACTTATATCAATGCTGTGGTATGGCACGACGGTTGGATAGGCGGTCCTCAAAGCACATCATTGAGAGCAGACAATGATGATCTGCGACGCGGCAAGAGGTTCGTGTATAACAGCGCGGACGGATCGCGGGTTGCGGCCTTCTGCCAAGCTTGCTTTGGTCGAGCTTGCCAGTGTGGCATATGCCAGATGCTCTCCGTGGACGGCGGTACAGCTGCATGAGCGTCAAGCCTTCTGACACCGTATAACTTGCCATTGGCCGTAGGGGGAAGCGGGCGTTCGGAGCTCTTTCAGTGTATGATCATTTTCAACGAGCAAGATGTATTGGGAACAATTATCATGTACAATATACAATCCTGTAACGCGTCCCAGCGCGGTAGCCGTACTTGTACAACAATATAGCCAATTAAGCACACAAACACCAATCGGGCGTCTAACCCGTTTGCTCTCCTTCTGGTGAACCCTGTATGATTGATGCTTTAGTATGTGGCAGTGAGCTCAATAGAAGACTGAAACCTCACGTAGGAGATGTAGTCAGGACTCTCACAAGCCTTGTACTCCTTGAGCAATTCGTCAGCCGTAGCGCTAAATCGAACATGTCAGTAAGGTTGGCGAGCACGCGGACTGACTACACACCGAGCATCGTCAAACTCCTCAAGCCCGTTCTCGAACATCCGCTCCTTCTTATACTGCTCCATGAACGCATTGCGCTTCCGTAGCCTATCGAACTGATCCAACATGCGCTTAAACAAGCTGGCAATGCTCGTGTGATTCGCGAGCATGAGCCCGCTCACGCGGTGATTCGTCGTCACGTATGGTGATCGCCGTGTGAGCGCGACTTGGATGCTCGCAGGGCCCCATGGAATGAAGTTGGCAAGCTGACGTTCGCGGATACGGAGCAGAGACTGATGGACATCCGTTGGATCAACGTCGCCTTGGATGACGTTGAGGATGGAGATGTAACACGCTGTTTTGCTGGGTGTGGTCGAAACCATGCGGTTCTTTGGTTGCAATAGTCGACGCATAACGTCGAGCACCGTTGTTCGTCGGATAGTCTTGGCCTGTAGCAATCTAATCAGCAACTCGGCGCCGTATGTAAACTACAAGAAGTTCGTTACCTGCTCGACGGAGTCGTTTGTGAAGGGGGTGTATGAGGTCATGAGGAAGTGACACCTTGGTGTCGGGATGAGGGAAGCAATGATGCCGACAAGGTCGTTATTCATGTAGCCAGGGTATCGTAGAGTTTGAGTGCTGGCCGCCATGACAGTAGCAACCTATGACAGTCAATCAGCATCTTGTATAATCACGTGCATCGAAGAGCGCACAAGTTGATTCGTCTGATCAAACGACGGCGTTTGAACGTGTAGCCTGTCGGCCGCAATCCGTGCAAGAGCGCCGTTATCGAGGACAACAACCGAGTCCGCATGGTTCGTGAGTCGTTTGAGTGTCAGTAGTGCATTGTACGGTTGCACGACGACATCTCCTTCTTGCGCGTTCGGGAAGACTGAGTAAGTCTGGATCAACTTCTTGGGAAACTTGTCGTTTAGACGCTCGAGCAAGAATGAGCCGAGACCAGAGCCCGTGCCACCCGCAATTGAGTGCATGACCATGAAGCCCTAGTGTGACCTCGATGAGACAAAGCGCGCAAGCTACATGCTCAAGCGCACCTCTAGTGAATCGCTGCCTTCAGCCTCGCGGTCGACCATCTCCATGATATCTTCGTACAGCCGCTCGCCAGCCGCGTATCCCTGTGCCCAGTTATTACCCGCACCACCACCGTCTTTCGACAAAAATATGTTCTCTGGGTTATACAGTCCGGCATATGGCGATGTGAGGATGTTGTGGATCACCTGCGCTTCACCACTCGCGAGTCAGTCGAGAGATACGCGCCAAGAGCAGCCAAACGCACGCGAGGTTCAAGATCAACGAGGATAGCGCGCGGTATATAGTGCTCGTCGTCCGCCTGGTAGAAGAATACGTCTTTCCGGTCTCCGCCCTCGGTGGCCCATTCTTCGAGGATACCCTCTTGGTTGATTCCGTGCTCAGCGCACAGGCGTTGCCAGAATACAGAGCCGACTATCTCAGCCTGTGAATACCAGGCCGCTCTGGTAGAGACATATTCGACGTACCTTGATTTCCGCACTGGCCAAGCTGTACTGTGACGATCTCGCGAGGCATGATACGCGTAGATGGTCGTCCGAGACGTCGCGTTTGATCGCGGTTCGCGCGACTGTACTCTAATGACGTGGGAAGGAGCACGCCGCGCTCTTGGTTCAGATCAACGACTCGGTGTATTCGGATTTTAACTATGACTGGCAAGTTCATGAGCAATATAGAACATCATGAGATCTTTGAACGCGTGTGCATTAGAAAGAGCGGCTTTCAATTCCCTACGATCCACTATAACTAATTCGCGTGATGGATCGCCGGCTAGTACTACTACAAGTCCTCCTCAACATCACCCTCGTTGGATGTAAAGACCTTGCCATATCATTTCCCGGCCCTTCTAGCAGAGCTATGTAGTAAACTGCGAGCTTGGATGGCGATAGCGATCGCATTGTGCTAGCCTGGACGTGCGGTTCGTGAAAGAGTCTCCACGGGGGGACCAGGTGGTTTGGAGATGTGTGGCGTGGGTATAGTCGAGGACGCCGTCGACTAGGCGAATGCATTGACAGCACTTGCAGTCTCGCAGACATCGAGCTTGGTCGAAGTCCCAGTTTCGGGGAATTGTAACGCTCGGTTCGTACCGGAAGGCCGAGCAACGACGGCGCAGATATCCCTTGGCGGCTATAGCGTAGTGACATCATCCTGTTCTATAGGCCTACGTGTTGATGAGCCATTAATTCGATGTACGATGAGATGACAGCGGTGCCACCCACCCGAAAGCTAGATGTACAAGCTTAATCCCGCTGCCCCGTTCTGCGATCCTCCATCCGTGCTATCGTTCGGCTCCGGTTGCATCTCGATCTTGCGCACGAGCTTCCACGGTACCAAGACCTGCCCAACGAACCGTCCATCGGGGTTCTCCTTCGGACCCAACCGAAACTCGTCCGTATTGACTAGCAAGATATTCATAGCTTTATCGGTCCCCACGAATGTGCCAATGAAGATGCGACCGTCTGATATGGATATGCGTAGAGTCTCTTGCAAGAGGGATTGTAGCGCCTCGACGGCTTGCGGGTTCTGGAGCATGGTGCTGATGGCGGTCGACGGTAAGCAGGCGTGAGAACGACACGTACCGCGTCTCGAGCGCGTTACGGCGCGACTTGGTTCGATGCTTGCATGAACCCGTACGAGAGCCCTCCCGCCCGCACCATGCAGGGCACATTCGACTCCGGAAATACCCACAAGTACTCGGTCATTCTCCCCACCTATAATGAGAGGAAGAATCTGCCTGTGATTGTATGGCTGCTCAATAAGACGTTCACCGAGAAGTGCGTTGCTATGACCCGTGGTGCGCTACCGTGCGGCTGAAGCTGAGATAAGTATATAGCGGACTGGCTTGGGAGATCATTGTTGTGGACGATAACAGTCCTGATGGGACGCAGGAGGTCGCGCGTCAGTTGGCGAGGGTCTACGGCGAAGATAAGATCGTGCGTTGTGATGGATATGCCGAGTGCACTGACGCTGACCCGTATTTAGGTCTTAAAGCCGCGGGCCGGTAAGCTTGGTCTTGGGTATGCTCTCTACTCGAATGCACGGCCTGCAAGCCGACTAATTGATGATCTAGAACTGCATACATTCATGGCTTGGACTTCTGCACTGGCGACTTTGTCATAATCATGGACGCCGACTTCTCCCATCACGTACGTTCTTGCCGAGTATACGACGTACCCCCGAGACTTACGCCCTGTGTAGCCCAAGTTCATTCCGCAATTTATCCGGTGAGTTCATACGCAAGTGATGAGTTGAGGATGGCCTCCTGATGAACGCATGCAGGCTGCAACAAGCGCACAACTTTGACATCGTGACGGGTACACGATACAGGGCCACCGCAAAGCCCGCTATGTCGGGCACTGAACCAGGAGGTGTACACGGCTGGGACTTGAAGCGCAAGTTTGTCTCACGAGGAGCCAACTTCCTCGCGGACACCGTTCTCAGCCCTGGTGTTTCCGACTTGACAGGCAGCTTTCGGTAAGTCAGCCCTTTACTTGCCTCCAATGCAACGCCGCTGACAACGTCGGTTGCAGTCTGTACAAGAAGTCTGTCCTTCAACACGTTATCACCCTTACCGTATCAAGAGGATACGTTTTCCAGATGGAGATGATGGTACGCGCCAAAGCGCTGGGATACACCGTCGGCGAGGTGCCCATCACATTCGTCGACCGTATCTTCGGGGAGAGCAAACTGGGAGCAGACGAGATCGTGCAGTACGGGAAAGGTGTCTGGAGCCTGTTCACTAGTGTTTGAAGTAATGTAGCGCTGTACAATGGGCCTCATTTTCGTGGAAAGCACTGTATCCGACCCTTCTGGGTGGCAATATGCCCGAATTTCGCGAGCGCGTCCATCAGCTGACCGCGTCGGCCGCTCGACGCGTCTTTCGCGTCAACGTCTTGCGCCGGTCTCTCACCGTGGCGTCCACCATGCCGAGCTCATCACTAGTCCGCGCCGCCATATTTGCGGCCGGCGCCGCCGTAGGAGGAGGTGTTGCTACCGTACTGGGCCGAAAGAAAGCGCAAGAAGCCGCGCCGCTGGGTGTACCAGTGTACGCGCCACCTGTGACGAGCAAGTCGCCGTCAAACACACCTGCAGTCTCACTCGGTTCTTCTGGGGCACCCGTTCTTGCTGCTGGACTACCTACTGTGCCTGTGCTGAAATACGGAAACCCTGGACCTATCACGGACCAGTTCGCTCGTCAGGCGTACGTCGCGGCGTATGACAGGCGTCTACGCCATCCTGCATGGGTGCGTCGGACCATCCCGCGATTCAATATAATTCCTGACCGTACATGTCTGGTAGACAGCTGAACACCTGACTCTTGCGTCACTGGGCAAGTCACCGCTCGACCCCATACCAGGTGGCGAGACGGGCGACAGGCAGAAATCGCAGTTCGTAGAGGACGAGGCTATTCCTTTGCCGTTCCGAGCACGACTGCAGGATTACTTCCGTAGCGGATATGACCGAGGGCACATGTGCGTGTTCTTTATTGCATGGTATGCGTTCTTGTTACTAAATATACGTGTAGGGTGCCCGCTGCGGACGCGAAGAAGTCGCAGACCGCGATGGACGAGACCTTCCTTTTGTCGAACATTGCGCCACAAGTCGGGGCAGGGTTCAACCGCCACTGTACGTTGCGTGTACTCTTATCTCATAGTGTACGATGTACTGATAGACCGTTGTATTTAGACTGGGCATACGTCGAAGACTGGTGTCGTCGTCTGACCGGCAACTTCTCCGACGTCTACGTCTTCACAGTCCCACTATACCTCCCCCACCGTGATCCCGACGGGAAGAATAGAGTTGTACGTGTTTCTTATCTCTCTTTGGGAGGTCAGATGTCTGATGCGCTCGCTAGACCTACGAAGTCATCGGTAGCCCGCCGAACATCAGTGTACCGACGCACTTCGCGAAGGTCGTTCTCACCTCGCGGCCGTCCTCGCCTTCTACTCCACACCTTCAGGAGATCTCGACAGGCGCCTTCGTGTTACCCAACGCTATCATCCCCGACGAAGCTCCCTTCGAGTCCTTCATCGTGCCCGGTACGTCCATACATCTCAAACCTCAACCGAGAGGTTCGGCTAGGACACATGGCTTATACAATGCATAGTGGATGCCGTCGAGCGTGCGGCCGGTCTCACGTTCTTTTCTGACGAGATCAAGAAGAACTCGAAGCACATATGCAAGACGACCAAGTGCGACGTGATAGTGCGAAGATTCGATGATGCTCAGAAGAACACGAAGCGGATATCTGCGCCCAAGTAGATGAGCTTGTGGTATTTCGCATACTGCCTTGCGTTTGCTGCACCGTCGCGTACCTGTCGCGTACCTATATGAGGATACTCGATCGTTTGTTGCAAACGCGGCGGCCGTGAATGGTCGAGGTGAAGCGAGAGCAAAGGTTCCGGCCGTGAGCAATCGAGCGCATGTCGAGCGCACCAAAGCTGCACGAGAAGACGTAGAAGCACTTCAAAGGATACCATGATTGGCTTTCAATGCATCACGTTCAGATATCCTAGGACGAGCGTCTGATTGTACAGTACAAAGTTCTCATGTTGAATGCAGAAGGCAAACTGGGAACCTGATATTGGTCCGTCAGAAAAGTTCTCGGCCGTCGGGCCTGAAGCCGATGACGCGGGGCGAGTCAGTAGAGCAGTCCGATCGAACCAATATAACTTTTGAGCTTCAGCACCTTCGCATCCAGTCGTCCACCATCCCACATCCGTACTACCCCGCAGCACCTCCCAGACTCTGTCCACCATGGGTTGCATGCTGTATGTCTCTGAAATACCCCCGGGCGCTTTGGCCTCTTGCTGATCTCACTGCAGCCACGACCCCTCTCAAAAGTACAAGCCGTACGTTCCGCTGAAGCTGGAGAACCGGCAATGGCCTTCGGCGACGTTCGGAACCAAGCCTCCAGTCTGGCTGTCAACCGACTTGCGCGACGGCAACCAGGCGCTGGCGAACCCGATGACGATCGAGCAAAAGACGACGTTCTTCGAGCTCCTGCTCGAGTGCGGCTTCAAGGAGATCGAGATCGCGTACCCGGCCGCGAGCGACACCGACTTCAACTTTGTACGCGGCCTGATTGAGCGCAACGCCATCCCGGACGACGTGTGGATCCAGGTTAGTGTGCACATTCGGATGGGAGATGCGTTCGGTGATCGTGACAGGCAGTGAGCCCAGGTTTTGACGCCCGCGCGTGAGGACTTGATCAAGCGCACGATCGACGCCGTCGCTGGGTGCAAACATGCCATCATTCACATGTACAACGCGACCTCGCCCTTATTCCGTTCTGTGGTGTTCAAGAACTCGAAAGAGCAGACTGTAGCGCTCGCAATTCAGCACACCGAGATCGTGCGAAAACTCACGGACGAGGTCACAAAAACGCATGGGACGCAGTTCCGCTTCGAGTACAGCCCGGAGACGTTCTCTCAGACTGAACCAGACTTCGCGCTTGAGGTCTGTGAGGCGGTCAAGAAGGCTTGGGGAAAGGCTGGACCGGAGCATCTGGAGAAGATCATCTTCAACTTGCCAGCCACCGTCGAGGTCGCTCCGCCAAACCACTTTGCTGACTTGGTAAGGCTACATGCTCATGTACTAGTGGACCAATCTGATGCTCTTATAGGTTGAGCTCTTCCACACTCGTATCACCGAGCGCGAAAAGGTCTTGATCAGCTTACATCCTCACAACGACAGAGGTGTGGCACTTTGATTGCGCTATGGCGTTCCCCACGCTTATCGTTTTCACTTTCTCTAGGAACGGGCATCGCTGCCGCTGAACTCGGCTTCCTCGCAGGCGCTGACCGCATCGAGGGCTGCTTGTTCGGAAACGGCGAGCGCACGGGAAACGTTGACCTCGTCAATCTCGCTCTGAATTGGTACACCCAGGGCGTCCACCCCAACCTTGATTTCAGCGACCTCCAACACGTCATCGACGTTGTAACACAATGTAACGATCTCCCCGTTCACCCTCGCCACCCATACGCCGGCGAGCTCGTCTATACCGCCTTCTCCGGCTCGCACCAAGACGCGATCAAGAAGGGCTTCGAGGCGCAAGCCAAACGCAACGCCGAGGAGAAAGCGCGCGGAGAGAACGAGATCTGGGACTTGCCATACTTGCCCATCGACCCCGCCGACCTCGGCCAGAACTACGAGGCCGTCATCCGCGTCAACTCTCAATCAGGCAAGGGCGGTATCGCGTACCTCATCAAGCAGAACCTGCACCTCGATGTACCCCGCAAGATGCAAGTCGCGTTTTACCAGGTCGTACAGGCCATCTCGGATCGCGAGGCGCGCGAGATGACCGTCGAGGATATCACAAACGCGTTCCGCGAGACGTACCACTTTGGCGGCGGCAAGTACGAGGGGCGTCTGGCTCTGCGCTCGTTCCGCATCACGTCGGTTCCTGCAACGGACGTCGATGGCGAGGCGGACGATATCCGTCAGTTCGACGGCACAGTCGTTGTCGACGGCGTAGTTCGTGTCATCCGCGGTGATGGCAATGGACCCCTGTCGGCTCTGCTCGCTGCCCTGCGCACGCACCTGGACATCAACCTCGCCCTACGCGAGTACTCCGAGCATGCCATCGACACTGCAGGCGACGCCGAGGACTCGCGCGCGGCGTCGTACATCGAGCTCGTACCTGCCGACGATCGCAAGTCCAGCACATCCTGGTGGGGTGTCGGTGTCGACCGCGACATCGCCGGCTCCGGCCTACGCGCCGTCCTCTCCGCCGCAAACGCACACATCGGTGATCGCCCTTTGCCCGAGCTTAAGCTCAGCTTTGGCCTCGGCGTGCGCTCAGGCCAGGGCGACGTCGCGAGTGCGCTGCAGCATGCCATGGAGCTCGAGCTCCCTCGCCGCCTGCAGACAGCCTTCTTCGAAGTCGTACAACGCGTCGCACGCGATTCGGGCGACGAGATCCCCGTCGATGCGCTGCCGAAGCTGTTCAAGGACACCTACGGGTACGACACCATCCTCGAGACTGGCCCCGTCGTCCTGCGCTCGTTCGAGCTCGAGCATCTGGTGGACAAGCGCGTGAAGATCACGGGCGAGTTCACGTTTGACGGGAAAGAGCAGAAGATCTCGGGAGAGGGCAACGGCCCGCTTTCGTCTGTACTTGCGTGTCTGCATCAGGCTATTGCGGGGTCGCTCGCTGTGCGCGAGTACTCTGAGCATGCGCTGGGTGTTGGATCAGACGTCGGCGCTGTATCGTACGTCGAGCTCACGTATGAGGTCGATGGGAAGAAGAGCGCTGCGTGGGGTGTCAGCTCGGATGAAGATATCGCGGCTAGTGGTCTAAGGGCTGTTATGGCTGCCGCGAGCAGGGTTGGCGTTGTGTGGAAACAAAACTGAGCGTTGTAGCTCTGCTTGTACTATACCTAGGGGATATCTCCAGCATAGCATGTACACATTCTATCCATCCATCTTGTTCTCATATCGCTCGTGAGCCCGACTCAACCCCTGGCCCGACAGATGATGCTTCGTAGGGCATGCTTCATCCCGGCGAGAGCAAAAGAACTAGTGTAGTTTTAGTACATGAGCAGCGACATGGTCACCAAAGCGTAAAAGAACTCGTAAAGGAAGAACTAGGACATCGCGACGAAGCAAGACAAAGCAGAACATAACAGATGTAGAAGCGTAGTGGGCTGCATCGTCTGGCGCTCAGCGGCGCGCTTTGCCGTTTGTAGCCTTGCCATTCGTCTTGCCCTTCGCAGGCGCCTTCTTCTTCGGACGATCGTCGTCAGAATCATCGCGGCGACGACCAGGCTCGCCATTCTTCTTGTCGTCTGCGATACATTGTCAGTACTGCCGTACATAAATAGATTAGTGCACGCAGGCATACCTCGCTGCGCCTTGGCCTCCAGGGCATCCCAATCATCACCGGACGAATCCTCATCGTCGTAGGACCCGCTACCGGAGTCGTCGCTACCAGTGCCGTCACTGAACTCGCTCTCATCGTCGTCCTCGCTCTCTTCGACGTCTGACGCTTCGAACTCGGACTCCTGCTCACTCTCGTCCTCGTCCGCGCTCTGCAGTAAAAGACGTCAGTCATGAATCGGCGGGATGCCAGAAAATGACATACGTCGTCGCCTGCGCCGCCGAGGAAGCTCCAGCCACCGGTCTGGAAGAACTCGTACGGGCTATCATTGATGCTCTTCATGATGGTGGCCCAGTTCAAGTTGATAGCCGACTCCGCGAGCGGGATGTCACAGTTGTCGAGCCAGCCCTTGACGTCGTCCAGCTGGTTGCTCGGAATGGAGTTGATGTGCAATGGCGTCTTCGTGTAGTCCTTGTGAACGAGGATCATATCGAACTGTTTCAAGCCGAACTGCACGCGCTCGAGTGATGCGATCTCGATCTCGTTCAGGTTGACCACAAGGAAGGGCGTGTCGGTGAGATGGACGAGACAGTCTGTCGTTGGCTGCAACTTGACGTTCGTACGGAACGGCACACCCTCGAAAGCGAGCTCGCGGAAGGGAATCTCGACATCCATGTTCTCGCCAGTCTACGGAGGCAATCGGCAATCACTCCGAATGAGCGCGGAATGGGACATACCGATGCGTTAAGCGCCTCAACGACACGCTCAGCGAAGCTCTTGAACTCCTTATTGAGCATCGCCCGGCGTTTGCGCTCTTGCTGCTCGACCTCGATCTCATCCTCGTCACCGTAGCGGTACTTGCGCTTACGGTTACCAGTCTCATCGAACTGAGCTTCCGAGGCCTCGCGGTAGAACTGCACGTCTTGCGACTTCTTCTTGCCCATCATAATGGGTGCTTTCAGATGTATGTGCAGAATGACAAGGAGTTCGTGATCGCAAGGTTGGAAGAAGACGTGCTCGACGTTGCTGAAGAGGATATCTGCAGTGGGCGCTTAACTAATATATCCGCCTGGAGAATCACGAGCGTACGTACCGACTTTCTGCGAGCCCATAGGAGACTGGTACCGCAGACCGTTCTGGTGGATCTCGACCTCGCCTGGGAGACGCTTGCCGTCCAGAGGCGGGCGAATGAAGACCTCGGCCAACTTAAGTGGACGGCGTCCCTTGACCTCGAGAAGCTTATCTTGCTCAATGACATCCGCCAGCTCCTTCTTCTGCTGCTCGCGCTTATTGACCTCCTTCTTCAACTCAGTTATCTGCTTGGAGATGGAGTCGAAGCGGTGGCCGTCGAGCGTACGGTACGTGATTGAGCGAACGAAGGTGGCGTCCGGATCTTCGAAGGGTGTATCTTCCTTCTTGCCGGTAAGTTGACCGGGTGTCTGGAAGTTAACGCGAAGATAGGTGTAGTCGCCCTCGTCATTCTTGCTGACATTCTTGATCGCATTGATGTGGAAAGGTACCGCAAAGCCATGGATGGGGAGGATGACAGTCAAAGCTTTCCTGTCGACCATGATCTGCATGATGGTGTCAGTTGACTCTCACCATGACATGCAGAACAAACGTACTCGGAGATTCTCCGTATCCTTCGGAAGTGCCGCCTCACCCTTGTAACTCTGGAACTTCTTGAACGTCTTCCCCTCATTCCCGCCCGCCCTCGTGCCAGACTCCGTCCACTTCTCCAGACCCTCAGCTTGGATCTTCTCGTGCAGCTCCTTCTGGTGCTCCGCGATCTTCTGCGCTGCTGACTGAACGATCTCCGCCTGTGCTGCGCTTCGCGTTTTGTTGCGCAGGACTTTTCCGCCGGCGGTCTTATTTTTTGCGGGTGAAGGGTTCGACTTTGAGGGCTTCTTCGGCGCTTTCTTCTCCGCGTCCTCGTCGGTGAAGTAGAGCATAACGTCACTCGTCGCTTTGACGACATCGGTGAAGCAGACAGCCTTCTCCAAGCCGATCTTGACAGTATCGTTCAGTTGAAGGGCGTATCTGAGTGACTTGTAAACCCAGCATCTCGGCGCGAATCAGTGGTACTCACTTGTCCCCCTTCTTGTCTACCAGATCCGTGAAGCCGAGCGAGAGGTTGAAAACCATGTTCGACTTCAATTGACGAGCATTCTTGGAAGAGAGCAAGTAGCTGGCGTCACGGAACTCCAGACCCATCTGTGGCTTTGTTAGGCGATGCATCAGTGAGCAAAGTGTGAGGACTGACGCCAAACCCGATGTTCTTGACGAAGTGTTTCTCGAGTTCGGGCTTCTTCTGCTTGATGAATGACAAGGCGTGCTGATACAAATCGCGAATGACTGCGCCTTCTTTCATCCGACCGAGCAAATCGGCCTGAAGTGCCAGCAGAAGGTTATAGTTGTCTTCTTGTTCCTGTGCTGGCTGTCAGACCGATCGCACTTCATGATATCTTGGGATGGTGTACCTTATCCGCGTCGATGATGAACGTTCGGCCCACGTTGGAGCTATAGCCCTTGTAGCGCAACCCTAGACTGATTAAGAAAACGCCCTTATGCGCCATCAAATCGGCCGAGGACTCTGCTGCAGTCCTAAGGTCGTAACCGGCTTTCGTGTTTCGTGACTGGATTATGGGCGTGTAGCAGAACTCGACCAAGTCAAATTCAACCTAGACGAAGGTCTCAATCAACGGTTACCGCACAGAAGTATAATCTCGCACGTACGTCCTTGAGGTTCCGGCCCTTGCTCCAAACTTTCATGTCGGGTCCCTTTGCTGAATCACCCTCTCCACTGCCCAGACGAGCCTCCATCTGCGAAGCGAAGCTCTCGTGCGAAATCTCGAGCTCGCGGTCGATGATCGTCTCCAGCTTGGTGGCGGCATAATTGGCGAGAAGGCAGGAAGTCAGATTGGCTGCGCTGCGGACATATTTCTGCCAGACATTGAGAACGCGCACGTAGAATGATTGTTCAGCAACGTACGAGCTCGTCCTCGTCCTTCACCGCCATGAGAGCTGACACCCCGACTGAGATATCGACAGTCTCCACCGCCTTGCCCGAGGCCTCGTAAGCTTTCTTCCACTCCTCGATGACCTTGCCCGTGGGAGCCTCCTTCGCGAGCGTTCCAACGCGTTGAAGCGACGTATACGCGTCAACGAAACGCGGTAATGCGTCGGTGGGCGGTTCTTTGGCTTTTGCTTGAATCAAAAGTTCGATGGGAATGCAAGTATCATGTTTTCGCAGTTGATCCAAGTGTTTTGCTATGGATGTACATAGGCGTTGAGTCACGTTGACCAAACGGAACCGCATAGCGAATGGAGCGCGCACCTTTGGTGGGCGAACACAGCACGTAGACCTTGTCTTTCGTGATAAGCATCAACGTAGCCGGGAACTCAAATCCAAGTAACCATGTCTATCAATGTATAGATTAGCCCATCATATTCACAGGAAACGCGCTCAGAGCGTCGAAAGAAACACGCATACGCGCGCGTCATTGTACACACCTGGAACGCGACGCCTTTCTTCATCGGCTCATCTTCAGGAGATGGATCACCTATTGGAAGGAATAGTCCATCCGCATCCGCAAATGAGCTAAAATCATCGTTTTTGCCGGCACGCTACAGGATAAAGGCAAAGTAAGTCAGTATGCGTATATCCAAATAAGCTATCATTGCGCACCGTCCAACAGTCCAGAATATGTTTTAGACGGGCATTAAAGAGCTGCTTGTCCAGCTGTACGGCCATACTGAGCCTCGGAAGCGCAGGTATCAGGGCAACACAAGCAAAAGCTGGTGGAGGTTAGAACCAAGACGCGTCTTGGTGGCGGGGCGCGTTCTGAACGTGATGCGGTCCGGACATGCCGGGCAACGTTCGTTTATCGCGCACGCGAACTTGCCCATCGGCCACCATCATGTCAGCCTCAAATGTAGGATCGAACTTCAATTAGGATAGTGACGAGTGTCTTACTGACTTCACGTTATGCACCTTTCAATAAGATGCCAACTTT